CAGAAATAAAACAGCCACAAACTACACCCACATCTGAATCCAAACATACAAAACAAAACTTCTCTCCTTAGTGTCCAAACAACACCGAAACAATAAGCTTAATCGCCACACCAAACAAGCAGTGACCCACAGCCCCAAGCAACTAGAAGACTAGCCGAAACAAAGTAGAGACACAACCACCTCCAACCAACCAAAGCATCAACTCAAACAAAATCCTCCATTTTCTCATCTTTTAATTTAAATTCTGGTTCCAAACTAGATAACCAAAATCTCCTCAAAATGTTTTTTACCCATTCCCTTCACTACCAACAGCTTCAGCCTAATCGTTTTGTCCACCCACTTAACCAAGACCTTCTCATCTCTTAATTTCTCTCCATATCTTCTTGCATTTATTCCCCCCCCCCCCATACACTATGAAGCAGAGCTTGAAAAGCGTACCGGATCAATAACATCTCCGTCTTAGTATACCTGGAGCTGGATACAGATATTACTTCTCAGATCTCTTCCCAGTCCGTAGTAAAACCATCCTTTATGATCCCAACAACTAGTTCTCTCCATATCTTCTTAGTAAATCAACATCCAAAAAGTGCTTACAAATCTCCTGCTCTTCTTTGCAAAGTACACACAAGGTATCCACAGCTGCATTCCACATATGGATTCTATCACAAGTTTGTAATCTATTTCTCGCAGCCACCCAAGTTAAGAATGAGTACTTAGGCGTATGCTGAACAAACCAAATGCCTTTACTCCAACTGCATTCAGGTTGAGGCTGACGCAACTGCAGCCAAGTTTTTTTTGTTGAAAATTTATTCAGGAATCTACTCCCGTCTTGTTTCCAAAGTGGATTATCATCTTCTTGATCAAGCCTATTTCTCAGATTATCAATCTCATCTTCCATTTCATTCAGAATTCTCACTCGATGCCTTCTCCTTCTATGATTTCGAATCACTTCCTCAATCAAAGCATTCTCTGCAATCCCAATACCCAAAGGTCCATTATCTCCTATTATTTCTTTAAGTCGACCCAGAGGTGACCAAGTATCGTACCAGAATGAGGTGTGTTTTCCATTGTGCACATCCATTTTAATATAAGACTTTGCTAGTATAGGAGATATATCATTAAGGGTTATAATTGTAATTAGAGAATACCTAATCACTTATGTACTATGTATAAATACTGTACAAATACATATCAATAAAGTATTCAGCCTCCTTTCCTACATGGTATCAGAGCTGAATACGATACCTTAAAAAATTTTTCCGCCGCCTCTCTTCTTCTACTCTTCTTCTTCATCCTCTGTTCTTGCTCCTCCTCTCTTGTCCGTTCACCATGGCTATGGACTCAACTACCGGATCGAACGAGACTATCATCGTCTCCAACACTCGTGCGTTGTTCAACGTGAACATGTCCAACGTCACGAAGCTTACCTCAACCAACTACCTCATGTGGAACCATCAAATACACTCTCTCCTTGATGGTTACGATCTAGCAGGTCATGTCGATGGATCTACATAGATTCCATCCCCAACACTCACGATTGATGGTCAAGTTTCTGTCAACAATGAGTACTCCCTCTGGAAGCACCAAGATAAACTTGTTTATAGCGCACTGCTTGGATCCATCACGCCTCCTATCCAAGCGATACTTGCCACAACCACCACTGCAACTGATATCTGGAACACGCTCGCTGCTACATATGCAAAGCCAAGTTGCGGTCATATACTGCAATTGCGACAACAGCTAAAGCAATGGACTAAGGGCACTAAGTCCATAGATGAGTACGTGCAGGGACTTACCACTCGCTTCGATCAGCTGGCGTTACTTGAGAAGCCACTTATCATGAAGACAAAATCGAGTACATTGTTGACGGACTCTCTGAAGATTACAAGACGGTAGTGGATCAGACTGCTGGCAGAGACACTACTCCCTCGATTACAGAAATCCATGAGAAGCTCATTCAACATGAACTCAAGCTTGCTGCAAAGTCTGAGACACTCTCGTCAGTCCCAGTTACATCTAATGTTGCAACTTCCCGTGGTAATCACAACAACAACAATCGTGGTTATGGCAGATCTAACAGGGGTTCTTACACTAACAATTGGAACAACCGCAAGAAAAATTACAATAACCAAGGCTACACACCACGACCGTATCAGGGAAGGTGCCAAATTTGTGGTATCCTTGGCCACAGTGCTCGCACCTGCTCTCAGCTTCAGCTTCATGGAACCATAGGGAACTCGAACCAGTCCTCGGTGTCTTCGAACCCTCCATGGCAACCTCGTGCTAACATGGCAGCTTCGGCATCATATAATCCCAACAACTGGCTTCTAGACAGTGGAGCCACACATCATCTCACGACAGATCTCAGCAATCTCGCTCTCCATCAGCCTTATACTGGTGGGGAAGAGGTCAACATCGCCGATGGTACTGGTCTGCCTATAACACATACTGGCTCTGCTCTGCTTCCTACTCCTCATCGTTCTCTTAAGTTGCGAGATGTGCTATATGTTCCAAGTGTTAAGAGAAATCTGATATCAGTTTATAAAATGTGCAATACTAATGGAGTTTCAATTGAATTCTTTCCTGCACACTTTCAGGTGAAGGATCTCAGTATGGGGGACCAGTTGCTCCAAGGCAGAATTAAGAATGAGTTGTATGAGTGGCCGGTTCAGCAGTCTTCTCCAGTGTCATTATTTGCTTCATCAAACCAGAAACCAGATCTTATCTCCTGGCGCGCGCGTCTTGGCCACCCGGCGTTACCAGTTCTAAAGTCTCTAGTTTCGAAATTTTCTTTACCAGTCTCATTGTCTTCTACAAACGATTTGTTCTGTTCGGATTGTTCTATCAATAAAAGCCATAAGCTGCCGTTTTATTCAAACACAATTGCTTCCTCTCATCCTCTCGAGTACTTGTATACAGATGTGTGGTCCTCTCTGATTGTGTCGATCGATGGCTACAAGTACTACCTAGTCATTGTTGATCTATACACTCGTTATACGTGGCTGTACCCGCTAAAGCTTAAATCACAAGTGCTGGACACTTTCATCAAGTTTAAAGCGTTGGTGGAAAACAAATTCAAGCACATGATTGGAACTCTGTACTCAGACAACGGAGGTGAGTTCATTGCTCTCCGCCAGCTACTTGCAACTCATGGAATTACCCATCTAACAACACCTCCGCACACTCCAGAGCTGAATGGAATCTCTGAATGGAAGCATATACATGTTGTTGAGACTGGTCTCACACTGCTTGGGCAAGCGTCAATGCCCACTACATACTGGAGTTATGCGTTTACAGCTGCTGTTTACCTTATTAACTGATGCTTACACCGGTTCTTGGAAACGACTCCCCTTATTCGAAACTGTTTGGTCAGTCCCCAAACTATCAGAAACTACGTGTCTTTGGTTCTGAATGCTTTCCTTGGCTCAGACCTTACACTAAGCATAAACTAGAACCGCGATCTGCATCATGTGTGTTCATTGGCTACTCATTGACGTAAAGTGAGTATCTTTGCCTTCACCGAGAGTCCGGTCGCATTTACACCTCTAGACATGTCCTCTTCAATGAGAAGAAGTTTCCATTTGCGTCTTCTGGATCTCCGACAAAGATGGCTTCTCCGAGTATGGAATCACAAACTAGCTTTGGTGAAACAACACTGGTACCGCTATGGCTACTCATCGCAACGTCTCCCCCGTGCTGTGCTCCTCACCAACAAAGTCCACAAGTAACTATGCCTTCACCTGCAACTATGTCTCCACACTCCTTGCAGCAAGATCCGACTTCTCCAGTGCTCCAGCCACAAACCGACCCTCATTCCCATCCATCGTCACCTCCAGACCCCATCCCAAACACAGACCCAACACCAACCTTAACCGCAACCTCACCAAACTCGTCCTTACCATCACCATCTCCCTCACCTTCACCACCACCTGCCGGCCCCACCTAAACCACAAAACCCAAATCATCATCCTATGCGAACCCGTTCGAAAAACAATATCTCTAAGACAAAAACAAAAACCTCTCTTTTAGCTTCTGACCCTAACCTAAAACCTAAAATACCCAAAACCGTGGCTGAAGAACTAAAGGATCCGCGTTGGAGACAAGCAATGGTTGATGAAATCAATGCTCAGCTCCGGAATGGGACGTCTGAACTTGTTCCACCTGAGAAGTATCAGAATGTCATCGGCTGTAAGTGGGTTTTTACGATAAAATATAAAGCTACTGGTGAGATTGACAGGCATAAGGCGAGGCTAGTGGCAAAGGGCTTCCATCAACAACATGGTCATGACTTCACAGAGACTTTTAGTCCGGTTATCAAGTCTACAACAGTGCGATCTGTGTTACACGTTGCAGTAACTAAGGGCTGGAGCATTCGTCAACTTGACGTCAATAATGCTTTTCTACAAGGGTCATTGGCTGAGGAGGTTTATGTCACACAACCCCCTGGTTTTGTTGATCAGGATAGACCTCACTATGTTTCTCGTCTAAAGAAGGCTCTTTATGGCCTAAAACAAGCGCCTCGTGCGTGGTATCAAGAACTTCGGTCTTACCTTCTCACGCAAGGTTTCTTGAATTCCACCGCTGATACCTCATTATTTACCTTCCATCGTGGGTCTGATACTATCTATCTCCTTGTTTACGTTGATGATATGGTAATCACCGGTAATAACAACAAGTTGATTGATCGGTTCATTGCGACACTCTCATCACGTTTCTTACTCAAGAATCTTGGTGAATTAAGATACTTT